ACTTGGCACTCACACTTCAAATGGGCTTAACTGTCTGCCTAACAACGAGGTAAACAGTGTGGGGAAATCAGCAATGCCCAAAATTAGCTTGAGCTTGTGTAGAACACATCTCGAAATATTGATGCTTCGCTGTATATGAAAGCTGGGCGGCAAAATGATGCTAAGCATGGTAGCTTTAATTGGGACAGCATTAAGTAGACGACAGCAGTATAGCACAAACCATACTATACCGGTGCTGACGTCACAAATCAGTGGTTACAACGCTTTTCCAATGCCCCTCAGATCCATGCTTTTTACAGACCTTCAGCCAAGATTCACTTCGCATACTAAGGAGGATAAAATACCAATTAACTAGGCTTGTCACTGGTCGGAAGAATCGTGACTGGTTACAAGATCCAGCGACTAACGTAATCAGTCCGCAACACGTCGTTAAGGTAAAGCATCGCTCGAGACAGATGGACTCGAATCGGATTCCGTACAAGGATGTGGGGTGGCGTTGGTTGTATTCGTGTCGTGAAAAGCTCACTAGCTTGAAGAGCGTAGCAAATCGTCCGTTTCTTCTTTCTTTCAGGCGCACTGCGGCTCTTCTCATGATCTATTATCGACGGTGTCCCTAGGAATAATGTTGAAACGCCCTGCCAATCTAGGCGGCTTGTTGTTTGTGGACACCGGATCTGCGCTCAGAGGCTATGTTCCACAGTTGAAGATATTGGAAGCAAACATCAGATATGATGAAATAAGCTCTCTTATAGACATTGGCATACTTTTCATTGGAAATGAATCCTTTAGACAGCGTAGTTTCTCTGTTTAGTAAATTTACTTTTCAATACGTAATTGCTTGATCACGTCATCGTACCTTGCCCAACATTGATGACGAATCAACCGACGGCCGTTATATCTGGAAATCGGGCTCACGAACGAATGACTTGACAAATATTTGTTGTATTGGCCTTGGTTGCCGCTTGCCCAGCAGAATGACAGGATTTAGATGACACTATTATAACGTCATAGATGCCCTGGTGACCCTGAAAAAGTCTCCCAGAGATAGCCTGCACATCTTCGTGGGCGTGCAGCTTGGAAGCTAGAACGCTCTATGCCTTAGGAAGGGTAGGGCAGTGACTGCACTGAATGACCTTCATTATATCTATTCGAATTCAAAACTCCATAAAAATGTTGAACACCATCTTTAAAAGGTCAACGGAGGACGTTGGAGCCACACGTCAAGAATTCACCCAGGGCTTTCTGCTGCTGAGAGGAGCGGTGACTTTGAAGAAAGAGGCTGAGTATCGGCGTGGGCCCCTGATATAGGCCGTCACACCTAAGATTTAAACAGGCATGATATAAAAAAACCTTTTATCGTTAGTCTTTCGGATGTAGAGCCAATCTGAGGTGCAAGACGTGTTCACAACTTATTTGGTATCTGCTGATACCAATTTGCATGCGCTTCACATCAAATTTCATCTATCGAGGCCATGTTAGGAAGTGTGAACCCTGCGCCGGTAATAATAGTGATTATCCTAAGATGGTGAGGGTCGCCACCGCTTCCAGCTGATTGCACGATGGCGTCACATAACGAGAATGATGTTGTTTCCAGGTGTTTGTAGAACCATGCTGTCGGTAGATTCACGGCTGCAGGGAGACAGTTTTGCAAAATATATAGGGGTGAGGGAGTAGTGGGGGGGGGGGGGGGGTAGAAAGAAATACGCGAAAAGAATCATGATTGAACCTGCCTCTGAACTACAATTACAATTGTTGCCTCCCCAGTTTTGGCCCGCTTTCTTTTCAGTTGGCAGTAGGAGCGTAGCTTTTCAAAATTTGTTTGGGGAGCTAAGCCCTAGAAAATAATGAATAGTGAGAATAACAGTGAGAATGTGAGAATAATAAATGATAATATCATAGTGAGAATGTTAGAATAATACAATAATAATATGATAATGAGAATAATAGAATATAGTGAGAATAAAAGGGACAATTAAAGAAAGTAAACTACATCCCTGGTTAGGATATACAAACCCCAACTGGATAGCAAACTACACCCCCGTAGCGCTTGTTATGTTAAGTACGCCCTGGTCGGGCTGACGGCATTAGTGGCCTAGTCCAAAACTGCCACTTCGTTGGCCAGGCAGTCAGAACTTCCGTCCCCATGATTGGAGCTGGCATCACCCATTCCCCAGTGCTAAGCCGGGTTGTGAATTTGTCATACAATGCGCGCACCAACCTGTGTTTTAGCAGACTGGATAATGGTCTGGTCGCAAGGCTTGTCTGCAGCAGCTGCTGACCTGATTTTGGGTCCGCGATGAGGTGGGTCTCGTAGATCCGCTTGAGGTCCGAGGCCGGCTGACGCTGCACAACCTCCAGCGCTTTCAAATAACGATCAGCTTGGCACGCGAGCCGCCCCCCCCCCCCCCCCGCTAAGGTTTTTGGAGAATACCTCTCCGGCGTGTCCTACAATTGTGTTGTGCGGCCGCGCGGCGCAGGGGCGCCCGGCGCGTAGAGGCAAGAGAGCCGCACGAGCTGTGCAGCACGAGATGCATTGTTGCCAGCGCGCTGACGGCGGCGGCGGTGGCCTCCTGGGTGGCGCGAAGTAGCGCGGACGAGGGTCGGCTGCTAAGTCCGTCCTGTCGATTCTGTAACGTTTGATTGTACAGTCGCACTGTACCGTAGCATTTAGTATTCGAATCGTAATTCAAACACAACAATCGCGCCCAAACTTTTGGTATCATCTGGGCATTTATTTCGCGTGTTTTGACGCATCCCTTGCAGTTATGATTTCTGATTAGCTACTGCCTTTTTAGGAACACTGCACTGCGATTCACAGTTGCCGTGGGCGACGGGTGGCGACCGACGATGCCGGGGAACGCGTGGCATACCGACACCGTTACATTAACGCGTCCGTACATTGTAAATATGTGCTGAAGTGCGGCTGTGTGAATTCCGTGTCGCTACGGGGCATAATCTCATGAAGAAGGGTACGCGAAGTTCAAAAATTCTATTTTCAGGCAGTTTTACCTTTGACCTAGCTCTGGAGGGTGAGTTGTTGACCTGGCAAAATGTGGCTTATTTTTAATAGCAAGATGTTGAGATCCATCCACTGTTTTTCCCGCGAAGCCCTATCTTTCTCATTTTTGAAACGACAGGGGTTCGGACCGATCCCCCACCCCAAATCTCTCATTGCCCTCTCCAGTCAGCTCACTGTATGACAACGGTGAGTCCGGACGAGGGTTCAACGCTCCGAGCCCAGCGCCAGCGCTCCCAGCCCCGTCTCGGACACGCGGCCTCTCTTGTGCCCGACACTCGGCCGCTCCAGTGTCGCACGTACACACACTCCAGTACCGAACACGCACCCACTCCAGTGCTGAACACACGACCTCTTCTGTACCGGGCATGCGGCCCCTCCTGTGCTGAAAACACGGCCACCCTAGTGCTGGATGGCTGCTGCTGTCCCAGCACGCGGCCTTTCCGTGATGGATACACGGCCGCCCTAGTGCACGACGGCTACGCCTGTGCCGAACATGAGGCCTCTCTTGTGCCAAACACGCCCCCGGTGCAGTACTGGACACGCCGCCTTTCCGGTGCCGAACGGCCGCTCCTGTTCGACAGTCCCAGTGTTCGAAATAACGACTCGAGGTATCGGCGTCACACGTTTTGTTAAGATGCAGAACATTAGAATGACACACTATAGGCTAATGCCATAAGTATTTCACGCCTTGTTCTATTTTTACGAATTCGTGGTATGTGATTAATTGGTTCTAGGTCTACAGCTGGGACCTGCGCTTTAGTGACGTAAATGTGTCAATTACAGAATAGCGGGCAAATGCCAAGGACGGTTATGGTATGTACGCTGCCCAAATGCTTCTTAAAAAGTCGTGATCTTGTTCTACAAGTGATGCTGCAATGAAATTGTTGCGAAACAGTAAACAAGATCGTCATATGACAAAATAGTCTGAACGCCCAAAAGCCGAAATTATGAACCAATCTCGTCAAGCACGGCTTGTTACGTGAACATTGACCAGCCACCCAAGGCCACGAAATAAGCTATTCAACGTTGCGTTTCTGGCTGGTAGTTATGCAATGGAGGGTAAATAGTTCCAAAGAGCGAATTGTAATGAATTAGAAATCTGTATTTTAGTAACTATGGATAGTATGGAGCTCCATTTCAGACACCGTAGTTATATACACGGGCAATAACTGTGTCCATAGCAGCATAACATTATCCAATTACGATGGGGTATTTTGTGACATCAAAAAGAGCGGACAGTCTTATAGCAAAGCGGAGGAGAGGGATTTTGTATGGATGAGCTAGGCGCTGCAAAGCCGGGGCTTTCGGCATGGCCAGCAAATGATACTTGAGCACCAATAAAACTCCCGAAACGAAAATGGGTTTGATATTGATGACGCATTGCAACTCAATTATCTTTTTGTGTGGTTATCACATCTAGAGTTATATTGCAAAGGTTTTAATGGGTTTGGCTACATGTGACAGTTAATACTGTTCAAAATTTTCAGTTTTATAGCTGGGCATGCCCACATGGGTCCCAACTCGGCAGTCCAGGTAAGCCCATGTGGTTTCTAGTTTGGCCCCATATAGACCCCATGTGGGCTGCCCATGTGGGACCCAGTTGGTTACCCATGGCATGCCCACATTGAACTGAGGTAGGCAGCCCGGATGGGCCCCATATGGCTGTTCATCTCGGACCACATGAGTCCCAGTTGGACATGCTGGCTGGGATGGCATTCGGCTACCGATGCAATGAGCGGACGCCTAGCAAAATTCGAGATGCAAATTACGATGCACCGACATTTTTGTACGTGATATGTGGTTCCATGCGACTTCAATCGTGTAGAATAAATGTGCATGTGAAACTTTAAAAATTCGCAGAGCCCGTGCCTCCAAAAGGCACGAGAGTGCCCGACTTTTCATTGACGTCACAAAAATACTTCAGGGAATATGTGCCGAAACATGGAATGACACCAACGTACTTGCATAACCTTGTCGGAAGGAGGGAAGAGCGGGCGGTGGTAGGCGCGCGTTGGATGAGCGTAGTGTGGGAGTGTGTATAATAAAGTAAGCAACTACATTTTCTCGCATGTTGTCTTATGACGCTTTCTGCGATCAGATATTGTGGTTCTTCAAATACAACAGCGTGTAAAAGGGGAAACCCGCGGTGCTTTGTTTGCCATGTGACACACCGGGACTAGGTATCCAGATTGCAGAAAATACACATTACACCGGACTTGTTCGGCGTAGCAGCGACATGTCGGCAAAGACAATGCCAAGGTATCAGGGAAATGCGATTTGCCAAAGTTCATTCAAGGAAAAATGCTCAAAAATTCCAACATTTAAGCAATGTGGGGTCAGTTCAAGCTGGTTGGACTTAGTATGGTGCACACAACATGAGCTTCAGTGTGCTGTGTGGCATGGGTTTTTGTTGACATCCCATTGTGTGGGATGGATAGAACAAAAAAAAATGGATTCTTTGTTGACAGCCTTGGTATGGCTATGGTGTCATTATAGGCCTTCATACTGGTATATCTTCATCCATAACTAGGCACCTAATGCCTTGATAAATGGATGTAACTTCCCAATAATAAACAGTATTTTATGTGAATAGGTAATGTGTCCATGAGCAAGATGCAAGGGTGAGGTTTCCTTCATACTTAGGGTGCTTCAGCTGCCATGACACAGACTCCAGTACCCAACTTTGAGAAAAATGGGTAAATCTGGAGAGAAACCTTTCTTTGGATCTAAGTGTTAGGTTGAGTCATTTTTTCACTCCTGCAGCACCCTTCCCCAAACTTATTTTGCACTTAACTGCAGCCCTGATAACATGCCCCATTGATGCCTAGGTGACCACATACCCATACCTTTCATGATAGGCAATCAAAACATCTAATTCCCTGTATGAAATGTGTGAGTGTAAACCTGCTGAAATACAACTCGGTCTTGTATTTGGTCTAGCTTTTTCAGCAAACCATACCACCTTCTTGAATTTGATGGACATGGTGCTTACTTTTCCAGGTGCTGAAAAACAGGCATGTTGTGAGGACTTTCACAAATTGTCAAGTTATGGTAACTTTTTCCATGTCAAAACAGCTTTGTCCTGGGGGAAAGCTTTGTCTAAGTGATCCTGCAGTCTGGTGGAGCCCCAGAGCTTGCTTTGGACCTTGAGTTAAGGTTTCTTTTGCTGTTTTGCTCCCAGAATTCTCTTCACTTGTTGAATGCAACCTTTTTATGTGGGTTGGGTCCTTTTTAGGGCTGCTAGGTCTTGGATGTCTGGGGTTGATAGTCATTTTGAAAACTGTGAGGAAGTTTGTCATTATTTGCATTTAGATTTCTCAGGAGAAATATGCATAACACAATTTTGTTGCCCTTTGCAGTTTGCTTTGAGTTGATCAGTAAGGGGGCAACTACCCTCTTACTTCCTGTTAGCTTTGCCCATGCCAAAACTACACTATTTTTAAAACCATATGGCCTGCTTTGTCTGGCCTAGTTTTCACTTGTCTTCAGTTGACATCCTTGGTCTCAAGCAATGTGAGGATTTGCTGGCATGGTAGATGGTTTCGGTTTTACCATTATGATGTTCTGTGTATCGTGATCACTATGTGCATATATGTATGGTGCAGTCACTCAGAAAGAATGATGCTTGTATGTGTTGCCCTTCTTTGTCCAGGTTTTTTCTCCAGCTTTTCCAGCAAGTTCTGTTCATCCCAATAGCTGAACTGGCTAGAGTGTGTGCTTTGTGCTCCACCCATCCATAGTAGGGTAAGTTCAAGTTTCTCACTATTACCTTTAACTGGGAGGACTTGTGTCCAGCAGCATCAGTAGCTTTAAAGGTCAGGCAAGATCAGGGAGCAGGATGGACTTGGCCAGCAACGCAGCAGGTTTAACTTTCACCACCAAATTCTTCCTTTTGTCTGCAACAAGCACTGATTAGCATGACCTCTGATTTGAGTAACCCATCCATTTGAATGGTTCAAACTAAATCTTAAAACATTTGAAGCTCACATTTCTCTGGTGAGCACTGCTCATGTTATTGAGATGATTCCAAGTTGTTTTGTTTTAAATATGGGCGTGAAAATCTCCATACACATCTTTAAAATGTGTAAGCTTAAATGTTGACACACACCCAGTGGCATGGTGCACGTGGCACATGCCAATGTTGCAAGAGCTTAGGATGCCTGCCCTGATGTTCTGGTCAGATCTTTGATGTCATGATGTTATCCGAACCAATGGTGCAATGATGCAATTATGATTTGGTTTAAAATGAGTCATCATATACACCTCAGCAAGTTCCACTTTGCATGTAATTTTGGGTCAGACTAAGTCAAAACTAGTCATAGCTAGGCTTTCCAGCAAGCTTGTGAATAACCTATTCTGTCCTTGGGTCATGCCAAGGGTAAATGAAATAATGAACCAAATATGGCCATTTTATGCTTTGTCCTCTGATCCAACATTTCCATGAGTACAGTGTCAAAATACCCATGAATGTTGCCATGTTGCATTCTACATGTGAGCGAGACATGTTATCCCAAATGTTTTAAACTGACTCATTAGATATGTTTGTGGGCATTGCATTACCTGCAGCTCTTTCTGTTTCAGATGCTTCTGCTGTACACAGTGTTCCTGTGGTCATGTGGAGTAGCTTTGGCCAGTGATTTGGTCGTACTTGCTGGAGATATGTTAGAAAGCCATCTTCTTGAATCCAAGACAACGTTAGTTCTGTTCAGTGAGTATCCTCACGCGCACGCAAATCATATTCAACATTGGGAATGGTCATTTCAGGTAACTGCGTAAAGGAGAACGCTAAGTGACTTTTTTGCCAAAGCTTGAGATTTTTGCGTTCCTTTACAGCTGCCTTGCCGCACCTACATGTCCCTCGCCCATATGCCAGCATTTTTGTGCGTTATTTCACGTGAATGGTGTGTTAGCCGAGTACATAACATGTTCGTGCAAGCGTGTTTTCTGCAGCGATTTGTATGCATTATAATTTTACGACCACTGCATCTTGGCTTCTTAAAATGTGGATACCACGCATTGTTTCGCATTTCCCCGCTCCCGGCCTGCGGCTCTGTGCAGCAAAATGTCAACAGTTTTAATATGGTAGGCTATCTTATGCCGACATCGGTTGGAAACAGCATCAGCCAAAGGATATTGACAGCAGAAACGCTCCGCGGCGTACGTTTGCAAACGCCGCGTCAGGCTTTGCATAGCTGTTGGTAGCTGTTACAAACTATTTGTAACAACTCTTTATGAGAAAGGCTGCAGATCGTTTGGTGTAAAAAAACGGGCTAGGGTAGAGAACCACTTCTGTCAAAGCGTCGAGCGTATCATCTATTCGTGGCAGAGGGTAGGAATCCTTCATGGTCACACTGTTCGGGGCTCTAATCGACGCAGCATCGGTGAGGTCCGTCGTTCTTAACCAGTTTTAGGGCAGATGACCAGGGGCTAGTGCTTCTCTCAATTAAACCCTGCCTTGCCGTATTGTCGATCATTCTTTCAGGTACGGCACTTTTCGGTATAGCTAAACGTCGAGGAAATGCTTTGACGGGCTAATGTTCTCCGGCGTTGATCCGATGTTCTGTCAGGTGTGTGTTCCTAAGGTCGTGGTCGCCGCTGGAACACACATCAGAATAATCCAAGAGCAGCTGTCCTGTGCGCTCGCATTCCCCCAGAGACAGCTCCGTAGAGCTTCCATCGGCGAGATCGCATCAGTGGGGTGGTATCGGCTCATGCACTGCCGCCACCTTTTATCTCGTGTAGCTGCCGGAGATCTGTGTCACTGGCTCGCAGCTTCTCACGTCTGCTCGGGCTGTGATCTGTGTCCCTGGCTCGCAGCTTCTCACGTCTGCTCAGACTGTGATCTGTGTCACTGGCTCGCAGCTTCTCACGTCTGTTCGGATTTGATCCGGACTGCTTTGTCCGTGAGGTTGGCCGTAAGAACCGGAAAACACGGTTTCCTGGTGTCCACCAGCGTGCGAGCGGCCATCAGCCCCGGTCTCGGCCCATCTCCAGCCTCAGTCATTCCAGGGACGTTAAACGCCGCTTCCACGGGCCGGTATGTGACCAAAGCCTCGGAGTGTGGGAGTATCGTGACTGGCTTCCTGACGCTGACCCTAAACGCCCTCACTCTACCCCCCTCCGGTATACCAACGGTCACGGACAGTTGTTTGCACTTGATCTCCATGTTCATATTTGACATATCCAGAACGCATATGTTTTGACTGAGATAGTCCAGCCCAAGAATGCACGGCTCTGCTAGGCTGTTTGGTACATAGACTTGATGTATTGATGCAGGTTCGCCGATTTTTAGCTCAACATGCACCGACCCCCGTAAAGCTGAGCGCTCTCCAGTGACATCGCTGAGTTCATCTGTGGCTGCAGGCGAATCCTGTCTGCCGAGCACGTCCCTGCGGAGTATGGTTTGATGTAGTTTGATTGGAGCCTGAATCAGCCATGATTGGCCAGTGGTTTCCGTTGAGGGTGTCGGCCACCTGAGTGCTGTCCATCCGGCTGCGGCACCGCATGTGGAACATGTTGGGAGACGTGGGTGTGGCCGACCGTCGCTCCCTCCGGTCGGCCCTTACTGGTGCCCAGAGTTGCTCGACTTCCGAGGCGGTTATTCTCTTGGGTTTGCGGCAGTCTCTTTCGATGTGGTCCATTTGGTCGCAGTTCCAGCAGGGTCCCAACCCCGAGGGCGTCGAGGCTGTTCTGAATCCCGGTGGTCTACCAGGTCTTTCCTCTGCGCGCGAGAATGCTTCCAGTTGTTCCAGTTGATGCGAGACCTTTTGGAGAAACTTCCTGCCCTGGATGCCATGCTCCTCCACCTGGCTCTGCCGACCGCGGTATCCGTGTTCGGAGAACGTACCACAACTCGCGTGGTTCGCTGCGTGTCTGGTGGATTCATATTCTAAGGCAGCGGCAAGTGCATGTTGAATATCAACGTGCCTCGCAGCCATCTGCACATTGACGCCCTGTAAGGCGTCGATAAACTGGTCGCATGCAGTGGTTGCTCTGAAAGCTGCCTCCGCCTTGGGATAGACTATTAGGCAAGCCGCTCGATCTCCTGTGTCAGCGTGGGTAAAGGTTCGCCAGTCTCTTGGACCCTGGCTCTGAGCTGAGCTCGAGACAACTGATCTTGGTGCGCGGATCCAAAGCGCTGTTCCAAAGCTCCTGCGAGGTTCTGATAACTCCTGGCTGTCGACTGATGGATGGCCCAGTAGCTCGAGGGCTTGTCCCTTCAGACTTGTCGACATGCACGCAGCTTTTTTAGAATCTAACCACTGGTTGCTTGACGCAATCATTTCAGATTGCGTCCAATAAGCGGACCACGGCACCGTGCCACCAAACTCCTGAGGCTTTACAATCACCATCCGCTCCGGCTGAGCCTCGGCTGGGGATTGCTGCACAGTAGGAATGCCGACATCTTCATTGGGAACCTCCGCATGATAACAACCGACGAATCAGTTGCAGTTGGCAACCTGTCCTCAATGCCCTTCACGCAAACCAGCATATCCGCCTACATGACCTCCATTTTTGCGATGAAGGCATCCAGCTGGTCCTGCACGGTCTTCGGATCCGCCATGTCTCCCTACTGAGCAGGTGCACCGCCATGCGTGGCTTCCGAAACCACCACACCTGGATCATACTGGTCTGGGTCCAGCCGTCTTGGTGTGGCATCTTGACTATGGGTCGCTCGCTTCTCCCTGTCGTCCTGCATCGTCCTGTTTGCAATTCACCGCGGAGCGACCAACGAAGAAAAAATGCACGTGACACGGCGTTCCCAAGCAGCAAATACTGAGCGGTGTAGAATAACAATACGATAATGAGCAAGCACAGATCTCAAACCTCTGACGCCAATGCCATGCCAGGCAGCGCTCCAACTCATCCACGCTATTCTGGGGACCGCGCCAACTCACTCCAATCACACTGCTATACTACAGGCACAGTATGATATGTGCACGACATCTTCCGGGGGGGAGGGGGGGGGGGGGCAACGGAGCTCATCGCCATTGAGCCTCCAGTAGGGCTTGGCGGTAAGACATGATTGTGGCCCTCGGGGAGTGGCCCGAGCCATCGGCCGTATGTGAGGTAGGGCACCAACCCTTTTGCTGCTTCCAGCGGGTCAAAAAGAGATCAGAGACATACAGACCCCTTACCTCGTCATTCGGGAGCCAGGACCCGACTGACCCCTCGTCCGTGTCCCGTGCCTGACTTCTGCCCGGCCCCACCATGGGGCGCCGCTGATTGGTCGGAGGTCGAGGCCACGTGACTTAGACTAGCCCGCCGCGTCGGCGGCCGTGAGGAGTGGCACGATTTACGGTGCATGGCGCGGGCACGCCGCCGACAGTAGAGCACCGGACACCACACCGCACTCCGGTACAACATATGTAACTTCGAAGGTCGCTGACCTGTGGCAGGTCAGAGTCATGCCGTGGCTGTCAGCGAAGGTAATCTCTAGGGAATTGGTTAATCTGATGCGGCAAAGGAGTGCTAGACGAAGTCATACATTTCGGAGATCGTTTCCTAGGCAATGCAACAAATTACACTGACCCAAGGCTAGGCGTGAAGATCAGATCGACGCTTAAGCCAGCCCTTTTTTTACTCGAGGGGCTGTTATACGAGGTGATTTCTGGCGTTCATTTCGAATTTTTCATAACAAGGCCCGCAACGAATATCTTCCATGGACATGTTTCAGATCAGAATAGGTCACTGACCCAGAATGGCGTGGGTCAACAGTTTATCTTTAGGAGCATACCGGCTAGCATAATCCTTCACGCCCATTCAAATGCGGCAATCAAAGAACCTCGTAGGATTCTGGTCACCATGACTTCCCAAAGGTCAAAATAGGTCACTGGTCTGAAAAAAACACCAGTGACCTTTTGCCTAGAACAGGTATTTTGGTTCACGGCTGTTGCATGAAGAGGTCTGGAGACACTTTTTGACACCAATTTGTAGCCTGGCCTTGTTTGACCTTATTTGACATGAAGGTCATGACCTGGAATCCTGAAATTTTAGCTCAAATGAGTTGACATACAGTCCAACCCGTCCTGTGAATTTGGTGTCTCTAGCTCTCTTACTTTTGGAGACCTCAGCCGGGGCCAAACTGACCTCCGCCCGCGTGAAAGATATCTAGTCGACCACCCGGGCGCGTGCTGATCTTTTTTGTCAAGGGGAGCCAAACGCGCGGTTTACCGGGTGAAGTTGTCGTGCATGGTATTCCGTCAATTTGCCAACGTTCGAGATACGTGGCATGGTCTCAGTGACTCAATCGGTAGGGCCAGCTTCAAAAAATGGAGGTCGTGTGTTCGAAGCCGAAATGATTGAGAAGTTTTGGACTGGTCTGTTTTGGAATATTCTAAATTGTTTATAACAGCCCATAGATGCTTTCAGTGCGATGGATGCCAAGGTATTTAGCATAAACTTCACTTTAGTCTGCATTGCACATCTAGATTGTGTCTAGTATTTTGCTGCGATTTATATACCGGACTTCGTTTCGCCTGGCCTGGTATCTATTACCCTGGGTTAGAAATATATGAGGTGTTTTCGTTTCATGCGGAACGGGATATCTACGAGAGCGCTCGTGACGTGTAGTGATTAGGGTCGCTCGATAAATGTACAACCTGTCAATGTTGGTTCACTCCACTGATTTCGAAAAGTTGCTTCACCGTTATCATTTTGTGACAAAGGAACGGTGAAATCGATCTTAATGTTTAAGACAAATCAAGAAATGCAGTGGCTGACTCATATGACGTATTTGGCGACGTTGTATGCCACATGGTCCGTTTCTCTAGCCATATGTAATTGGAACGTTCACACCGTAATTGCCTTAGGGCGCCGAGGTACGCTGAAAGGATCCAGTACATCCGGTATAGAATTTCCTGGGCGATGCATGGAATCTTTGCCGTTAGGCTTAAATCTGTTACAACGAGGCAGATGGCATAGATTACGCGTTACGTCACATGTATTGTGTACCATCCTGACGAACCGAATGCGCCAATAACCTCAGGGAACGCAAATTTCGTACAGGTACGCAGCTATCGCATTCGTGTTCTGGGTCTTTTATAAGAAGAGTTTGTTATTCTGTATGCATTACTTCGATGCATTCGACACGCCAGCATGGTTACACCTCGCTGGTGGGTGCCATGTGTGTGAGGACGGCATTACTACACACTATTGTAGCACACGTTGGCTGATTTTCGCTCTTAAGAAGCTAGGTCTTCATGATGCTCAGCATTCACTTATTTTGAAGAAATGTTTCGGAAAAAGTAGATTGAGAGCCCAATAGTAGCTTTCTGCCACAAGTGTCGTCGTCTGAATATATTGCAAGAAGTCGATGCAAGGGTGCTTGGAGGCGGGTGTAGAATTACCCAGCCTTGCTTGCATTTCATGAAGTGGTAAAATAAGAACAAGGCTTGGTACTTACAACGGCAGAATACGTGATTCCTCATCGACGAACTAGTAGGCGTCAAATTGACGACAGTAATCAACGCATGCCTGATTCAGTTCCGTGTCGCTTCAGCGAAAGCCAGTGGCTGCAGCACGTGTCCTGCGGCAGCGGACGAGCTGCGCTCAGTGCTGCCATCTCTGGACGTGCAGGCGTACTCTGTGCAGGACGAGAAGATTACCGCTCGGTACGCTGATCGGGTACCGGCCCTGGTGATGTTCGTCGGGCATGCTCCTGTGCTTTACGAAGGTAGGTCAATCCTTCTTGTTGTTTATTTCTAAGGCAATAAATTTGGAGCTATGGTTCCAGTGGGAGGATCACATTTTATCCTGATTTTTAGCGGGTATTGACGCAGCCTTAGTTTTCATTTTGTCAGCTAGTCCGTACTGCGACAGCTGCGCACTGTTGCGCTACTGCCTCGCCAAATGGGCGTGCATTCGTCGAGTGGGAGTCCTAAAATTGCGATGACATTTAAAAAAGTATGATGGGCAACTGGGGCTTAATATCGTGGCGTATGTTATGCATTTGTACTGCTGGTGGCGTCATGTTGGGCTGGTGCTGGCGCCAGGGCCGCTGCTGGGTGACGCGTTTGCGGAGTTCGTCACCACCAACCGGGAGCCGCGCGTAGTGGCGCTCAACGACGCGAGCTTCGAGCACCTGACGCAAGCCTCGACGGGCGCTACCACCGGCGACTGGCTGGTGATGTTGTGAGTGTGTCAGCCGCTCCCCGCCGCTTTAGTTGTTAATGTGTCAGCCGCTCCCACTGCTTTAGTTGAGTGTGTCAGCCGCTCCCCGCTGCTTTAGTTGTGTGTCAGCCGCTCCCCACCGCTTGAATTGTGGGTGTGTCGTTTTACGGCGCTCTCTGCTGCCGCTACCTTTTACGCACACACACGCACACACGCACACACACGCACGCACACGCACGCACGCACGCACGCACGCACACGCACGCACGCACGCACGCACGCACGCACGCACGCACGCACGCACGCACGCACGCACGCACGCACGCACGCGCACACACACACACACACACACACACACACACACACACACACACACACACACACACACACACACACACACACTCTATATATATATATATATATATATATATATATATATATTGTTTATGTATATATATATTGTATATAAATATACATATGTATATATGTATATTTATATTTATATTTATATGTAGCGCAGATATTTATGTGTGGTGCTGTCAAATCTACAGCCATGTCAACATGCTGATTTATGCTAATTTATGTCCACATCTTGCAGCCATGGTTTGTCGTGCGACCGTTGTGAGGCGCTGGAGTCACGCCTGCAGGGCGTCGCGGCCAAGCTGCGTAACCGCGTGATGGTGGCCAAGGTCTCTTCGGAGACAGACGGACGAGAGACGGCCAAACGATTTGGCGTCGCCCCCACCCAGATGACCATCCTGTTGTGAGCAACCGGACGGCTGTTGACGCATGGTTGATCGGTGGCTTACCTGCGGATGTATAAGTTCTAAACCAGATTTGAATCACCGTTTTTTCATTATATTTTAATTTATACTTTAAATCACCGTTCATGATATTTTATATCCAGCCCATATCATGTTACGAACATTGAGCTGGTCGCAGATTTACATTATCTGCATATAGTTTACAGGCTGCCAGGACTTGGCTCAGCTTCGGCTCCTGTTACGGTTTCTGATAATCCGCGTGCTAGTCTTGTGTGTGTCAGGTGTGCTCGACGCCCCAGTGGTCCGCGGGCGCGAGACAGCGCTGACGATGTTCTTGTGTGCCCAGTTTCCGGCAGGGCGTTGTGTACACGTACGACGTGAGCAGGCTGGATCTGACCAGCTTGAGCGCGTTCGCCGTCGGCCTGTATAAGGATGCGCCGAGCCGGCCCGTGCCGGAGCTGCCTCAGACGCCGCTGTGAGTTCGGGCGCCGCCTGCCCGCTGTGGGCGCCAGTCCCGTAATCGGCGTCCCCCGATCCTGTCACTGGCAGTAGTTCAGATCCATGACTTCATATTTTCAATTTCGGGGTCAGATGTTCAAGAAAAAGAACTGTTGACCCGCAAAGTCCTCGTTGATAAGCGAACTTTGGCTGCCCAGTTTTACGGCTATCAGTGAACATTAAAAGGGTTTCGTGAAGAAGTCGTCACAAAAAGCAAATCTGTAAAAAGGTAGATGGGTAGATTTTCGCCAGCTGACCAATTGCAGTGCTGTTTGAAAGACGGGTTGAGAATCAACTGTGCTGTTTGCAGCTCGAGCTCCAGAGCTCGTTGTTACTCTAACCTCATTCTCAAACCACGTGATTATCAGCAGGTGACGAATGCGGGTTGAGACAAGTTTGGTCCCGAACGGGATAAACGGAGCGGAGTAAAGATACTGGCTTACGAAAGGCGTGCATCCGAATGCCCTAACAGATGCACAGCGCGGGCGGTACCAGTTTGCGATCTTTTCAAAATCGGAGTTTTGACGAAGACAAATATCCCACGTGTAAAATCTCCTAAAATCAGTATAGCAATGCAAGTAATGCAACTTAAGTTATCGCGCCTAGAATGCGCAGGTGAGGGCACGTGTTGAATGTGTGTTATTATGTAAAAAAACAACTCAACAGATAGATGCTTGGGAACAACTGGCATGAGAATAAAAGACCAACTATAATCTTTGTTAAAGGGAGTGTCACGCCTTTGGGGCATATTTCAAAAACATACTGTGGTGAAACCTCAGGACTAGTTAGTCTAATTATAGCACTGGATAGTGTCACTGCAGCACTGTCAAGGCATGATAAACATATCCATTTTAATTATTTTTTAGTTGAAATCACGTTGTCAACGCTTTGTAGCAACACTACGCTTCTTCCCTGCAGTCACGACCGCCGTCGTGTAGCATGCGCAACTCCACTGGTGTGAATGCAAAAACGTTTGTGATTGTACCACCGGGCAAGGGCTTGTTAACGAGAAGCGCATTGGTTGAAGTTTGAACCAGTGCGTCACATGGGTCGTGTGAGACTCCCATTCCCAAAGTCGAAGTGCGCCTCGAGAAGAGCCGCGTTGACAGACGCCACAAGGGAGTAATCCAAGCCGTAGTATGTCTCGTTGAATGCACGGGTAAAGTAGCTTTATTTTTGTTTCTTATCTGAATAGAGTGTGTCAAACTTTCGTAGCGTTTCTTACACAAACATTTTGGCACATCGGTGCGCTTCAGACTTTACCGAATACACCCGTTTGAAAAAGCGAAGCAAATTAATTGTATTACTGTCATACTGGTGAGGATATAGTCAAATGAAATTTCACCCCCAGGGTGGGCTGCTTCAAATAAAGATTCTGAGGTACCTGGAAGGATTTCGAGAAACGTGTTGCCGATCAAATGGTATACGTCTGATGTGACAATAAGTGAAAAGTAGAAACAAGTGGGATTACTCCCTTTAAAAGGAGAAAGTGTGACCTTCGTGATAGGGATGCGTTACGAGCAACACGTGGCGCATAGAAACTGGCAGTCAACTACCATCATGAGCGTTGCATTGCAATTACTGTAGCTGCTCGAGCGCACTGAGCTGCAACGTGTACAGATAATCACAGGGGCATTGCACGAGTGACATTGGTATTGTGCGAGTAACGTTGGTATTGTGCGAGTGACGTTGGTATTGTGCGGGTGACGTTGGCATTGTACGAGTGACATTGGTATTGTGCGAGTGACGTTGGTATCGTACGAGTGACATTGGTATTGTGCGAGTGACGTCGGCTTATGTGATGTTCTGTGCAAAAATATACCCAGCTAACGACCCCACAAAAGGGCACCAGCTTCTTGGTAAGTTATACTTATGTGCGGAAGTACTGAAGAAACCAATGTCATTTGCATCGCGTTTCCCATTTTCTAATCAGCCATGGCCATTGCGATGTTGTGCATGTTAATATAATTTGTCCTACAGCTTGCACGTTTTCAGCGACATGCACGACCCACTCGAGTCCTGACGCACGGCTGGCACGGCCAGTTGTATGCTTTCCGTCGGCGCGGTAACGCATCTGAGCCCGTTTTCAGGATGCTGGCGCTCCAGGTGGTGGCTGGCGTAGCCGTTGTCGCCTACATTCTGATGCTAATCGTGTCCAAGCAGAGGGAGGCCGCGCAAAAGAAGAAGGGTTTCTGAGGCCGGATACAGTGCGGGCTGTGCTACCGTCAGACCTGCAGGATCGGACTACAATCCGAACCTAAACCGATGTGTCCCCCCAGTGGCGTGCTGCAGCCACGGCGCGCGCCCCCGCTTGGGTCGAGCCGCGGGCAGGAGTGTGTTGTCAACGCAGCGGGAATGGCAGGGGGCTGCGGGTGTGCACTACCCATTCCATGCGTGTTGTGGGCACCTAGCTATTTTGGGACAGAGGTGACCGCACAGTTACGTTTCAGGATGTTTATGGTGTGGGGGTGAAATGCTTGATGTGACGGGCTTGTTGATTTTTTACTCGCGCTTTGATAATATATTTGAGGCTGATAGATATTTGTGTATTTCATTTTTGCAAAAGGACGTTTACGAAAGTCTGTTTGGCTGGAAGTTAGCTTTCAGGTAATATACATAGTCACCTGACATCGGTTTCGTATATGTGTGCAACAGTGCGGGAGGTGGTGTGCTTCTAGTGGCCTACCTGGCCGCACTGATGTAGTGTACAGCAATACTGGGAGCAAGCATAAACACATCTGCCAGACGGTGCTTTCCGATTTGTTATGGTTTATCGCCAGATAGCGGGGCGTTCCAGGCTCCGCGTTTCTTGACGACAGTGCTTATCAAACTCGCCGAAAGTACGCATTGCGCAGCGTTTGGGGTCTTCGGTGCATTCAAATGCTTTAGTGCCGAATGCTCTGCTGCCTCACGCTGCTATCCGTTTGTTTGTTTGTTTGCATGTTTTTTTGTTCTTGCAGATATCGGAAAATTACAGGAACCCAGTCATCTTTATGTGTATTCAACTGTACGGCCACTACTTCATTGGACGAGTCTCATATATACCTCTATGTTCGAAGGGAAGGTTAACAGCTGGCATGAAGTCGGTACGGCGCACCGGCGAGGGATGAAGGAACCCCGTGGGTCGCCAGAGGCAGATTGCAAACGGCATATTCAACGCCAGGTCACAATGGCGCTGTTCGCGGCTGGCTGTCCTAGAATTTGCTACCTTTGGAAGCGGGATGCGCTCCTTCGCTACAGAGCTTTGTCGCCGACCATCCCGGGACGCATCATTCCGTCCCGTCGCCTCCGAACCCCGTCCCGGTATAAGGGCTCGACATCACTGCGGACTTTTCGCTGTCCGTTGACCATTATCGGCTTTTAAATCCTTGGCTGCATAACGCGTCTTAAGGCCAACTGAATGCAGGATCTTTGATCGCCTCAAACACCCCAACAGCCCCTTGGTCTTCTCTCCGTATCTGCCTAGATACCCAGGAGCCTAGAGCAAGCAGTAACCAGGCAGGGGCAGGCTATAACTGAGAACCCGTGGTTAAAGGGAGCGTTCCACATTTGTGCAGGGGGTTGGGCTGAAATAATCTTGAAAATAATCGGTGCAGTTCACAGCCCTGTCTTAAACCTCTCAAGCTTCTGAGCTAAACGTTCGTGGAGATGTATAGCCTTTTCCGGAGTGATTATTGAAAGGTCATCCAGGCATCCACGACGTCATAATAACGCCATATAACGTCGTTGAAATCCTGTTATTCCATTGGCCGTCCGAAAATGAAGGCCAACAATAAATATCGTTCTCGAGTCGTTGATAGCTGGCGTTCGTGAGCACAATTTCCAGATAAAGCGGCCGTCAGCTGTCTCTCAGTCAATGTTTTGCAAGATACGATGACATGATCAAACAAGGACGTATTGAGGAGAACATTTACTGCGTACAGAAATTGCTTTGTACTGATCAGTCTTTTCCACTTAGAGGTATACCAACAGTTGCAACTGAGCTTATTCCAAAATATGTGATGCTTGCTTCAATATCTCAAAATGCGGAGGATTCCTTTCAAGGCCAGAAGCTGTTTTTGGACCATCGGTGCATAGCATGTGTGCTGCTGCTTGTTGACTTTGAGAAGCAGCTGAGGCAAGCTACATACAGCTGCGTGCTACTTCTACTACTACTACTACTACTATTACTACTTCTACTACTCTACTACTACTACTTTTGATACTACTACTACTTCTACCACAGCCAACCAGCTGAGTAAAACGCTTATGAAGTCTTGCACTCTCTTCCCTATTCGCCTGTTCCTTCTCTCCGCTATTCGTCGTCTCACTTGTTCTTACCTCACCTGATACACTCACGTCCTCCAAGCGCGTCTTCAACTCAGTTACGCGTCGAAACGCACCTATAACGCGCGATAAATGTCTTTTCCATGTCCACAACGTTTGTCTCCGACAGGAAAAATTTCTGGAAGGCGCAGTAATTCCAGGTAGCCATCTACATCCACTAGTAGATATTCTGCATAATGGAAAGACGGATATTTTTCATCTTTTATTATTGCACCAACGTTCACGTTCATTGACTGAATTGCCATGCACAAAATGCACCTCGCGCACAATAAAAAACAGCACACCCACTAAAAATCATCGGTAGCTGACAGCTATACTTTTATATGAAATCTATTCTGTAAACCTGCACCATCATTCTGACGTACTTATGCTTGATTATTACGCAAGAAAGGGTCTCATTCGTAGCACAGCGTTCATAGAACCACGCGCCCTCAGTCTTATGACACCAGTCGAATAAATCGATGCGCTGGCTGACGTCTTAACTCCGGCATTCCCAAGTTCACCACCCGCACTTAAACACCAGCACAAAGGGGTCCTCAGAAATATGTGGCCCGTTGCCGTCACAAAGGCGAACACTCCAAAGTCTTGTGGCGCTTTGAGAGTGCGACTATGACACAGCCCCGTGAAGAGGGCGCCCGAAGTGGGGCGCGGCGCCCTGGCCGACGGCCAGGTACCCTCCGGCAGCCGTCATCACGCCGCGTCGGGCTCCGTCTCGACGGGCACCTCCTCCTCGGTAAGCGTGGTCTCGAGCACGCTGTCCGCTCGGGAGCCGGGCCGCACGAGCGGCGGCCGGGTGACGCGGCCGCCTCTCAGCACCTGGCGCACCTCGTCCGGCGTCAGCTGGCGCGGCGCCGCGCTCTCCGGCAGGCTGAGCCGGCCAGAGCGGAGCACCTCGCGCACCTGTTCGGGCGTCAGGTCACGCGGCAGGCTGCGCGAGCCGGCCGGGCCGCCCTCGCCCGGCAGTGAGCGCAGCGGGCCCAGACTGAAGGAGCGCTGGTGGCCGAGCGGCGCCGGCCGCGCCGCCCAGCCGGTCTCGCCGCCGTCCAGCGCCGTCTGCGGCGAGGCGGCCGGCGGCGGCGGCGGCGGCGGCGGTGGCGGTGGCCGGCGCAGCGAGCTGCCCAGCCGGCGCACGGAGCGTCGCAGCGGCGCCGGCAGCGTCTCCAGCAGCAACGAGGCGTAGCTGGGTGGCGGCTCATCGGGCACGGTGCGGCTGCCTGTGGCGGCGGCAGCTTGGCCCGCCTCGGCCGCCGCTGCACCGCGTTCGGGCGAGGCCAGCTGGCGCACGTGGCGCATGGAGCGCCGCACGCTTTGACGCACCATCTTGGCCAGTCTGGAGACAGTGTTGCGCGTGAGGATGACGTCTGCGCGGGTGCCCCGTCCGCCCAGCACAGCGCGGCGTCCAAAGCGAAGCGTCAGACCCGTGGCGTACTCAGGGAGAGCCATTAAGTTGCTACACTCGGCGTGACATTGCTTAGTGTACTAAAATCTACCCCACTGCTATGCACTTGTATGAGCCCGAACGATGCTTCGGAATGGCGCACTGACTCGACCGTGCCTGTGGGCTCACATATCTTCGACTGACCTGGCACCGGTGGCCGTGCTGTAGCTGGGAGGCGGCGTATACTTGGGCGGCGGGTCGGTGTAGCGCGTCCGGGTGCGCGGGACGCCGCGATCCTCTTCCTCTGGTGTGATCCGCCCCAGGATGGCTTCGTTGTACTCGGGTCGGTACAGGCCCTGGATCCGCTGTCAGCGCGACATGGCACGGTGCAGAGAGAGAGTCAGCTCGACATGGCACGGCGCAGAGAGATACGTCAGCGCGACATGGCACGGCGCAGAGAGAGACGTCAGCGCGACATGGTACGGCGCAGAGAGAGAGGTCAGCGCGACATGGTACGGCGCAGAGAGAGACGTCAGCGCGACATGGCACGGCGCAGAGAGAGACGTCAGTGCGACATGGCACGGCGACGGCCCACGTGCGTTTCAAGAGTATGCTTTCATAGGACATATATCCACAAAATCATTGAGGCTTTGTCATAATGAATATCATGGTGATAAGTGCTGTCTGTACAACCTAGCTGCATTAATCAGAGCCATTTCTGACCTTTGGATGCTTGCAAACTTGCTTACTTGCATGCTTGCGTGGATTTCAAAGATATCTCAAAATCTAAAAGACCGAACACGACAAACTTAAACACTACCCATTGGCACTCTATACCAATGCCATTTTCAGCCGCCAGCGATAGATGTCAAGGAAGACCACACGCCATTTGAATGACAAGCTCTTAACCTGCATACCATTCATAAGTCACGCAAGCACGGAGGCTGGGCCAGGCGATAGATGGCGGTGCACATCCAGCGGCTTGCGTTAACAAGCCTTACTGTCACTAACCAAACAATAGGATGCAGTAGGAATGGTGCGCCAAAGACCAAAGCATGGCGGCGCCAGCTACCACGACAGCCCACCAACCATTCACGCCCGTCGACCGCAAGCTGGATCTGAGGCTCCAGTCCACTTGTCAGCGATGTAAGAAACTGATATTGGTTACTGGAACCCCGCTACGGATTCAGCTTCCTTTAAATGTATTTATTGGTCCTAGATAATTATTGCATTCACGTCTTCACACGTTTTCAAAATTTTGACGTAGGTTATGGATCCCGGGAGGTCATGCGACAGCACTCCAAGAATTGTTGCAGACCAGAAAAACTGCCAGCAAAACGCACAACAGATCGGGGATCTCCTCACATTCAACAAACTTATACGGATCAGAACTTGGCGGCGCCTTTCGGGGCAACTTGGAAGTCCTGCCTTTGGAATTCGTTTTTAGAAATACGTTTTCGACGGATTTCATGTTAAACAAAGATGTCTGAAGAGACGTCTTACACCATGCATGGCTTGAGATGAGTGCACATATTTGGCCGAGCTATCACAAATGGTTGGTTACGTCTTCCGTCGTCTGTGGTTTGAGATGAGGGCACATATTTGGCCGAGCTACCACAAATGGTCGGTTACTTGACATTTTCAGGTTTTCAGCTTCGAAAGGCGGCAGCTCAAAGTTCAATCTACCATCATTCTAGTGCGTTAAGCACAGTCATGCCCGAAAAGTGAGTTTAAAACATTTTTAGAACATTCTGAGCTACAATTTGAAAACAAATGTTGGTTTTTGTTTCATCTTGAAACAAATTGTGATGATCGTTGAGCCCTGACGATGCTCCAACAAAACCACAACAGTCTTGGATCCTGGAGGACCGTCGGATGAACATGTACATCTCAACATCCCAGATTCCAAGAAATCTTACGGAAAATTTTTACAATGAAAACGTATCCCAAACGCCCTGGGATCCAAGCTGCAAGATACGAAGACCTGATTCATTTCTCGGGTCCACCCACACGCAGCTTGCCAGCCAGCCCAGATCCACCCACATGCCGCTTGCCAGCCGGCCCAGATCCACCCACATCCAGCTTGCTAGCCGGCCCAAATCCACCCACATGCAGCTTGCCAGCCAGCCCAGATCCACCCACATCCAGTTTGCCAGCCAGCCTAGATCCACCACATGCAGCTTGTTAGCCAGCCCAGAGGTTGGGGTGCAAAGCACAAGAAGCGAAGACTGCTAACTCGAGTCGACTCAATGCTTTTCGAATATACTTACGTCATACAAATCTCCTTCCCCCTTCCTGATGAAGCGGATGGCCTGGATGAGGCCGACCACTGGCACCAGCAGGATAGGGAACATCATGAGCATCGAACCCAGCTGGCGGACCCACAGGCCCCAGAAGCCGTAGCCGGAACTCTCCTCCCACGTGAAGATGGCGTCGAAGCCCCCGGTGCGGAACGACACCACAGATAACACCTGCAGCATAGCAGGACCGGATCATTTCCAATGGCACGCATGACGCTTCATGTACCTGTGCCATATAGACTGCGCTACCAAAGTGCCTGCCTGTGCCATATAGACTGCGCTACCGATGCGCCCATGAGTAAATCCACATGGAGTGCATCATAAGTTGCTCTTTTCGGCTCTCGGTTACAGACTGACGGTTCCCATCTAGCAGACATCGCGTTGTAGATGGACAGAGGCAAACCGTCCAAACCACCTCGTGGACTAATTGAAATACCAGATGACATTAACCATCATTGAGTATAGCAGGCCCTTGTGCAGTGAATCCCCGAAAACCATTCATATCTGTGACTACTATGAAAAATATCTCCAAGTGACAGCGGCGTGGTACGTACCAAAAGAGCCATGGGCAGCAGCACGTGCCAGACGAAGCTGAGGAAGGGTCCAGCCCAGTTGGTCATGCAGCTGTTCCTGGCGATGAGGATCGTCACCACTTGGGTGGAGGCGAACGGACTGCCACGGATGTAGAACACAGCGAACAGCTGCCGAACAGAGGGCATGAACGATCAGCTGCCGAACGCGTGAGGGATCAGGTCAATCGATCACAAGGCATCGCTGATCGGTCATCGCTTCTACCCGGGCAGCCAGACAGTTTGCGTTTAAAATAAGGGGAGGCAGACTCGCGCGTAATTATGGGCGCGCTTCGTGGGCTCAAGTTTCACATACGGATTGCTAATTCTCCAGCTAAAGAGCCTTAACCCGACCCGACCCAACCCGAGCAGCCACGGCCGTAGCCTCATTCAGTTGTCAGTAACAAGGCGTACAGTTCTTGAAAAGTTACGCCACGCAGTTTTTGAGGCTCGCACACACAAACTGCTCGGTCAGGCGCGACTGTCCTGTAGCATCGCAACGCCAGCAACGTGGTGTTATCATAAGGGGTCACTCCCATGGGTAGCGTACAATTTGCTTGCCGCAAAAAGCTGCACAAGACAAATCAAAACCGGGCCTGAATGTGTGTGACCCTGCGTTGCAACGCCACGAAACCAACACCGTGCAACAGAAGACAGAACCAGGCTGTCATATGGTCAAAAGAACCAGGCTGTCATATGGTCAAAAGAACCAGGCTGTCATATGGTCAAAAGAACCAGGCTGTCATATGGTCAAAAGTGTGGTGCAGGGAGCGGGGCCTGCTGTCCGCGCCCGAGTGCCAGCCATCGGTTCACTCGTCTGCCTTGCGTTTTAATGCGGGGCCTGCTGTGCGCGCCCGAGTGCCAGCCATCGGTTCACTCGTCTGCCCTGCGTTTTAATGCGGGGCCTGCATTCCGCGCCCGAGTGCCAGCCATCGGTTCACTCGTTTGCCTTGCGTTTTAATGCGGGGCCTGCTGTGCGCGCCCGAGTGCCAGCCATCGGTTCACTCGTCTGCCCTGCGTTTTAATGCGGGGCCTGCTGTCCGCGCCCGAGTGCCAGCCATCGGTTCACTCGTTTGCCTTGCGTTTTAATGCGGGGCCTGCTGTGCGCGCCCGAGTGCCAGCCATCGGTTCACTCGTCTGCCTTGCGTTTTAATGCGGGGCCTGCTGTCCGCGCCCGAGTGCCAGCCATCGGTTCACTCGTTTGCCTTGCGTTTTAATGCGGGGCCTGCTGTGCGCGCCCGAGTGCCAGCCATCGGTTCACTCGTCTGCCTTGCGTTTTAATACGGGGCCTGCTCTCCGTGTCCGAGTGCCAGCCATCGGTTCACTAGTCTGCCTTGCGCTTTAATGCGGCGCCTGCTGTCCGCGCCCAAGTGCCAGCCATCGGTTCGCTCGTCTGCCTTGCGTTTTAATCATTGATTCATCGAGAGCAAATACATGACTAAAATCGTCTACGCTGTGTAGGCGAAAGTACCATTCGCAAATCACCTGACAAACTCAACATTCTTCGAGCCATGGCAATGTGTTGGTCGGCCGGCAAGCAGACGATGCAACTTTTTCCCAAACAAATTTTGAGTATTATTTGCGGTGATCGTGATCATTCGTTGTGGCATCCAATACCTCAACAAGGCCCATTTCCACAGATTTACAAGGACGGTACAATTTTCACCGCTCGTAAACTATGTTACTGGGCAACCATTACGTTCAGATATGTCACTGAAAAGCTGGAGGGGTGGTTGTGCCCACCATAGGCTGGCAAAGATTAGTGTGTGACAACCCGGCTTCTCACGACCTTTTCAAGGCCACGGTATTGCAATGCCAAATGCCACTATATTGCATTGGCCCGACCGGACTCAAGTAACTGCAGACGCTGACCAGCACTGACCTCCAACACGAAGATGACGACCAGCCACCAGAGGCAGCCGACGCAGTAGTCGAGGAAGTAGATGATGTGGATGCCGATCTCGGTCATGAGCGGCAGGCTCAGGCCGAAGCCAAACACGCACATGAAGAAGGTGGTAGTGAGCTCCCAGGCGCGCAGCCTCCGCGGACAAACCGAGATCACAGCCTCCACCACCGCCCGCCAAATGGCCAGCTGGAACGCACACCGACAGGCTGAGATGACCTGTCTATCTGGACTGCAGCTCTTGGCGTACTTGACCATCAGTTACTTAGTATTGACCCAAACAACGTATAAGCTGTCAGTTTGGGATGTTTTAGCTCAAGTGGCACGACATGAATTGGAAAGTGTCAACCTGTGCTTAGCAATTTTCCCACATAAGTTTCTTGTAGACTGCAGCTATCACGTACGTTATGTGTTTCTAGCTTTCATAGCTTCTGAAACACTAGCATGGACACTGGAAGGGGCACACTAGCACACTAGTGTGCCCCTTCCAGGCCCAGTGATTGTCCGAAGTGTCTCAGCATTACCACGTCACTTTCACAAATAAACCACCAAAACCGCCGGCCTCCGCCGCCACAACGGCAGCACCCCATCCCGTGTCCCCCCCCCCCCCCAACCCCAACCCATCCAACTCACCTGTTGTCCCACACCGAAGAGCAGCAGCGATAGGTAGAAGACGAGCGCCCAGAATGAGCTGATGCCACTGCCGCCGACCACGGCCAGCAGCGAGGGGAACAGCTCGGTGGCGAGCCGGTGCACCTGGTAGCCGGAGCTCCACTGGGTGCCGGTTTGGCCGGCGGAGCCGCTCAGCCGGATGATCACGCCGGACACCAGGTTGGTGTAGTGCTTGACCTCGGGTGGCGTGCCGCCAGAGTGGGACGAGCCGATGCCGGGCGCGATCAGGAAGCGGCTACGCTGCTCCGTCTCTGTGGACGGCGTGGCAGGCCGAGGTCAAGGCCGGGGAAGCTCCCGACGCCACCGGGGCCAGGTAACAGTGGAAACATGGGCGGCGCTAGCTTAGCTGATACCCGATAAGGCTATTCGGTCGGAGGTCGGGAAGGGTCTTCTACAGTGTTTGTTGAAGTTATAGAGGTTTGCTTACAACATTCCCTGATCTGGGGCTCGTGCAAGACTATAATCAAATAAGGCCTAGTTCACGTCCTAGATGGATGGATGCACTGATTGCGAGAGAGCGGGGGACGGCTACGACAGCCTTCGGTACAGTGAACGGGAGCCAGCCCGGTAATAGGGGCCAAGCGAGGAAAGCAGATGATCTGTAGGCCATTCCCATGCAACAAGGTGAAGCAACAGCATGACTGATTTTGAAAGACCCGGTAGGTACATTGCGTGATTGCTTCCGGTTGGCGGGTAGAGGTAGTGCTGATTCAAACATGACTAAGAAAGAGCGCCTGGGAGCAAACCAAACATGGCCACCCATGGTCGCGCCGTTTCCTAGGAGACGGCAGATCGCCGCGCCAGACAGACACTGTCTTTTGACCGCCGTCAGACAGGCCTCCGGCGTCAGACAGGCCTCCGGCGACCCGACGCAGCCGCTCACCGAACGAGCTGGAGCCGATGATGTAGCCGATGTCGCCGACGCGGAGCGCGTGCAAACAGGCGTAGCCGAACAGGGCGGCCAGAAAGAGGATGACGAGCGTGACCAGCGCCACCAGGCTGGTGTCGCGACGCAAACTGTGGCCGAACTTGTTGTGCGAGGCCACGGCCATCAAGGCGGCGCCGTGCAGGCCCCAGATCATGAACGTCTCGCGCGCCGCCACCACCCACGGCTGCGGGACGTTACGTCACGTTACGTCGCGGGTCGCACGCCACGTTATGTCTTGTCACGGACTATTTAGGCGATGGAACTGGTGACAGTGGGGTGCTTCACTTTGGCATCAACATCATGCACGTCGTCCTGCCGGGTAGTAGGTCAAAACGCAGAAAAGGGACACGAATAGATGTGCTATTCTCAACAAGCTATAACACGGCTGCTCTGTCGGTACATATGCGATCGCTGGAGCTAGACGTGTGGACAGCAACCAGTTTACACCGGAAAATTCAGATGTACAAGCTGCACACGAATATTCAGGTAAATATGGTGCACGCAGATTATTTGACTGATAAAATCATTACGTACCACCGTGCTCCAAAACACGTTGTCGAAGAGAACCTTGTCGGTGAAAAACTCATTGAGGCCTTCGGTCCAAGACAGCAGCTGGATGCACACGGTGAAGAAAGAGACCATGGCGAGGAGCACGATCGGATACACCACCTTGCCGTACGAGCGCAGGCCTACAACGTGACGAATTGCATCAAGTCAGCACCATCCTCTATGGACCGAAAACAAGTTCACCCTCTTCACTGCATAACGATCAAGATTTCATTCATTCAACTTACATCCAAATGCATGTGTGTTTTCTACTATCGTTGAGAAAATCCTGCTGATGCGATTACGAAACACGGGAAAATGAGTGATATATGGTGAGAAATTGAATCATGTAAAAGGTTAAAACAAGCAACAAAATCAAGCAAAAAGTTGAAACAAGTATCAGAATCAAGAGATGCGCTGAGACAAGCATTGTGCCAAATCCAGCGCATCGATAAGCCAAATCCGATTTTCTAGATAGTGTGAAATGCTCCGAACGGCCGGGGTTGCGAAGCCGTCGCCGCCACTCGCTACACTCGCCTCGCCCCAGAGATAAGTAGACCAGAATCCAGGTGACTGCCAGGTTGAAGGAGATCTCGAAGCCCAGATAGCCGACCTCTGGCAGGCCGGTGTTGGACATATCACGCTGCAGCACCCGCTGACTGTGACAAGAGGTCGTGTCGTGTGAAAACAGGCGGCACGGAGTCACGGCCAACCGTCTCGGGTGGCTCAAGCATTCAACTGCGCCAGTCGAGCAAGCAAGCACTTCTACCGGCGAACAGTCCTGATGTTAACAGGCAGCTGAACGAGAGGATGGTTACTCAGGTCTCGTCCCACTGAGAGGCCGGTTCATTCCTCACGCATGTGAGCGTCATGTTAGCGGTATTCTCCCGGTTCCTTGAGCGCCCAGTCATCTCAGAGCCTACGAAAGATGCCAGGTACAATGTTGATGAGCAGAGTAAGTAACATACCTTGCGAGTATAAATTTTCGTGACCAAGAAGCTTTTTTAAATCGTCAAAGACATCTGCCGACAGTGTGGGTCCACGCCGTAAAGTCCCGACACATGGTAATTGTTCAGCATTTCCTTAAATTTAACTACTGGCGCTCAAAGATAAGCAATGAGGTGAGTGTTAATAGGGAGACGCCAGCGCAACGAAACCTATCGAAAGATACCACGTTAAAGAGATGGTCAAAAAGCTATAAACTTCGTGCAAAGGAATGCTCCGCACTGGTTGAAACCATGACGCTACTCTTGTCGTACCGTCATTTGTCACGCGTACAATGTTAGCGTGTGAAATGTGAAAAAATCCGCTTATTCTTGTGCCGCCGCAAGGAGCTCAAATTAATTAGACCCTCGAGTTCCAGAGTAGGGCAAATGATGGCTGACATACAAAACACAATGCAAAATTTCCAGGCAAAATAAGCAAAGGCTTAAATGTCTTGCCATCAAACAGAAATTGAAACATTTTGCTGCGAGACAGCGTGGCTTGCTTCACTTGCGATATCATCTCAGGGTATCTGCTTGCATCTGTATATATCAGTTTTTGAAGCAAAAATGCTGTTTGCCCAGAGGATAAGCCATAGCAGACCGCCGCACTACTTCCTCCTTTTTGCATCGACATTTGGTGGCATGAAAGACGGAACAGGCTACGGTTAAAAGCAAATGGTGTTTATTCACCTAAATGCCACAGCCTGACAAGCCGATGAATACATAACCAGCCGCCGGGGCCAGGTGGGTATCGGACTCCCGCGGTCATGTTTCCATTATCGTACAATCACAGGGCGACCGGTATCAGACCAGAAGGATGTCAAAGGCCTAGCACAACATTGGCGCGAAGGAGACCTGCGCGTTTTTATGCGCAAGTTTGACGTCATGGTACATTTTTTTACGAAGGGCATGTGAAAGATCCAATTAGTCCGACTGTCTGGCATGGGGCTCGGATTCAGGCATGCAAACTTGCCGTTAGTCTTCCACAAATAATGGCCGTGCCTTGCTTGTGCGGAGCGTGCGGCTCGGGTGGCCCGGGGAGCGCGAGGCTCGAACGGCGCGGGGAGCGCGCGGCTCGAACGGCGCGGGGAGCGTGCGGCTCGGGTGGCCCGGGGAGCGTGCGGCTCGGGTGGCCCGGGGAGCGTGAGGCTCGGGTGGCCCGGGGAGCGCGAGGCTCGGGTGGCCCGGGGAGCGTGCGGCTCGGGTGGCCCGGGGAGCGTGCGGCTCGGGTGGCCCGGGGAGCGTGCGGCTCGGGTGGCCCGGGGAGCGTGCGGCTCGGGTGGCCCGGGGAGCGTGCGGCTCGGGTGGCCCGGGGAGCGCGCTCGGGTGGCCCGGGGAGCGTGCGGCTCGGGTGCCCCGGGGAGCGCGCGGCTCGGGTGGCCCGGGGAGCGTGCGGCTCGGTGGCCCGGGGAGCGCGCGGCTCGGTGGCCGGGGAGCGCGCGCGGGTGGCCCGGGGAGAGTGCGGCTCGGTGGCGGGGAGAGTGCGGCTCGGTGCCGGGGAGCGCGCGGCTCGGGTGCCCGGGGGAGAGTGCGGCTCGGTGGCCCGGGGAGGCGTGCGCCTCGGGTGGCCCGGGAGCGTGCGGCTCGGGTGGCCCGGGAGAGTGCGGCTCGGGTGCCCGGGGAGCGTGCGGCTCGGGTGGCCCGGGGAGAGTGCGGCTCGGGTGGCCCGGGGAGCGTGCGGCTCGGGTGGCCCGGGGAGCGCGCGGCTCGGGTGCCCGGGAGCGTGCGCTCGGGTGGCCCGGGGAGAGTGGCTGCTCGGGTGGCCCGGGGATAGTGCGGCTCGGGTGGCCCGGGGAGTGCGGCTCGGTGGCCCGGGGAGAGTGCGGCTCGGGTGGCCGCGGGAGCGTGCGGCTCGGGTGGCCCGGGGAGCGTGCGGCTCGGGTGGCCGGGGAGCGTGCGGCTCGGGTGGCCCGGGGAGAGGTGCGGCTCGGGTGCCCCGGGGAGCGTGCGGCTCGGGTGGCCCGGGGAGCGCGCGGCTCGAATGGCGCGGGGAGTCGCGAGGCTCGGGTGGCGCGGGGAGCGCGCGGCTCGAACGGCGCGGGGAGCACGAGGCCCGGGTGGCGCGGGGAGCGCGCGGCTCGAAAGGCGGGGGGAGCGCGCGGCTCGAGTGGCGGGGAGCGCGCGGCTCGAGTGGCGGGGAGCGCGCGACACGGGTGGCCCGGGAAGCGCGCGGCTCGAACGGCACGGGGAGCACGCGGCTCGAACGGCGCGGGGAGCGCGCGGCTCGGGTGGCGCGGGGAGCGCGGCCCGGACAGTATCCGACTCACTTGAAGTACTGCGGCACGGTGTAGGTGACCAGCTCGGCGTAGCCCACTGAGCAGTTGCCCGGGCAGGCGGCCCACTTGTAGCGGTCGTAGCTGGAGACAAAGCTGTCGCGCAGGTAGACGAGCATCCAAGCGGTGGGCACCACCGTGTACACGCCCAGCAGGAGTTCGGCGAAAATGGCCGCCAGCCCAATCCCCTGGACGGAACGGGAGATGTGTGAGGTGTCACGGCTTGAGCGACAAGAGCCGGCTGCGCCGGACGCAGGACGAACGACTGGGCAGGGGTACGATAGATGAGACCGGCAGGTGCGTGCAGCCTGGGTTTCCTCCATTGCACCAGAAGATATATAAAGTCATCAACAATTGCAATGCGCACATTGCAAAAATGAGCTGTTTTTAAAACCGTCAGCGCGCGTCGGGAAAGAAGTCCGCACTACCGGTGTGGGCCCGACGGCCGAGACATACCTTGAAGATGGGTGAGATCCTCCACATGTCGACCACGCCCGAGCCGATGTACTGCCCAAGTGTCATATGCAGTGTCATCAGCGGCATACCCACCAGCAGAGACAGAATGAAAAACTGGATGATGAAAGCGACTGAAAGGCAGGAAAGGCCCAGTCACACGTCGGCGTTGGGGACAGGGGTCAGACAAGGTTCAAAGGCCGTCAGACAATGCTCACAAGCCGTCAGAGACACAGTACACCTCTCAGAGAGACTCGGATAAACACACCTGTCACGTGTGCAGAAGGTTCGAATGAAGAATTAGTTCAAATGAAAAACGCTTCGGCCACGGTCTTAGGCAACGCAAACACCCTGCTCAGCTGCGACAGGGGTCATGCTCGTGATGTATCAGATTGCCAAACTGATCAGTGCAGTAAATCTCTGCTAAAAACCTTTGTCAGTGCAATGCCTTTTCGAGCTCCCTTTTCACGGCACGGGCACTGACAGAGTGCTGCACCGCCGCAACGGCGGATGGGACGCGACCGTACCTCCGTAGGTACCGCCGAACAGCGCGAACCGGCACACGGCGCCCAGCCCGACCGTGCAGGTGAGGCATGCCAGCGG